AATTCCACAGAAATGAGGGTTCCAGCCCCCCAGTCTGACCTGCAGCTCGTCCATGGTGACGATGCCGTCGCGGTCGGCGTCGATGACCTCCAGGAACTCGCGGCGCCGCTCGCGCACCCAATCGTCATCGATGTCCTGAGCCTGCTGGTTCTCCACGGTGCCCACGGGCAGAGAGATGAACTCGGACAGGGTCAGCTTCTTGTCCCCGTCCTGGTCTGGAAAAATGGAAATTTGGGTTTAATTTGTGTCAAAATGGGAAATTTCTCCTTTCAGGAATGGGTCAGCTTCTTGTTCCCATCCTGGTCTGAAAAAACGGGAAAAAAATGGGAATTTTGGTTTAATTCGCATCAAAATGGGAAATTTCTCCTTTCAGGAATGCGTCAGCTTCTTGTCCCCATCCTGGTCTGAAAAAAAATGAAAATTTGGGTTTAATTTGTGTCAAAATGGGAAATCTCTGCTTTGAGGAATGGGTCAGCTTCTTGTCCCCATCCTGGTCTGGAAAAATGGGAAAAAATTATAAATTTGGGTTAAATTCGCATCAAAATGGGAAATTTCTGCTTTGAGGAGTGGGTCAGCTTCTTGTCCATGTCATGGCCTGCAAAAAATTATAAATTTATATTTAATTCGCGTCAAAATGAGAAATTTCTACTTCGAGGAGAGGCCTGGCTGTGGCAGAGGAAGGTTATGATTTTTAGCTTTAATGAAGCAAAAAATTCAGTGTTTTAATCAATGTATAAAATTCTAAAAGGTTAAAATATCCATTAATCAAACAATAATAAAAAGAAATTTTCTGGGCCTAAAAATAGGCATTTTAATGGATTTTTTAGTGGATTTTACTTTAATCCTTATTTTTAATTTTAATTTTTAATTCTTATTTTCAATTCTTAAGTTTTTTTTTTTCTTTTCCACCCCAGACATTTTTTCCCTGATTCAGCAACAAAAGAACCCTCAGAAAACTCAGAGCTCTGAACTTTTCTGTGTGCGTGTCACCGGAAATTCTTCATTTTTATCACCAAAAATCATCTCCATTTGAATCATTTCGAGCCCCAGGTGCTCTCAGAGTTCAAAATCCACCTCAGTGGAAAAAAAACCCAACGTGGGCACCAAAAATTTGCATTTTTTAACAAAGAAAACAAAACTTTGGTTTTTTTTCCATTTTGGTGACTCAGCCCTGAGCACTGAGCTGGGAAACAACGAGTTCCTGACAGAAAAATTAAATTATTTGAGAATATTTTGAATTTATTTTAATTTTAGTTTTAATTTCTCGTGATTCAGGGAAAAAAAACCACAATTTCATCCAAAAATGGGAATAATTCCCAAAAAAATTGGTGTACCCAGGTCATGGATGAACTCCTTGACTGTGAACTGAAGCAACCAGAAATTAATATGAGACAAATAAAAAATCCCTCAGATTTTCAGGATATTTGCTAAAAAATTGGGATTTTTTTCTCATAAATCAGAATATTTCACCCGAATTCATGTCCTGATCCCATCAAATAATGGGAATAATTCCCAAAAGAAATCCCAGATCATACCCAGGTCCCGGACGATCTCGCGGACCATGAAGCGCAGCAACAGGAATTCATTGTGAGATGCGTATAAAATCCTGCACAATTTCCACTAAAACCTCGGGGGTTTTCCCATAAAATCAGAACATTCCACCCCAAATTCACACCCCAATCCCAGAATAATCCCCAAACTGGTGTTGTACCCAGGTCCCGGACGATCTCGCGGACCATGAAGCGCAGCAACAGGAATTCATTCTGAGACACATATAAAATCCTACAGAATTGCTGCTAAAATTTTGGGGTTTTTTGGTCACAAATCAGAACATTCCACACAAATTCAAGCCCCAATCCCAGAACAAACCCCAGAAAAGCTCTCTGTACCCAGATCGCGGACGATCTCGCGGACCATGAAGCGCAGCA